ATCAATATTTATATGGCTTTATTGTATATTGTTTAAATCTTAATGTATAAACATACCATTTGTCCTACAGCCAACATGACAGGGTTAGAGGAACAAAGCAAAGAGAAGGACTCTCATGGCAGAGAAAAAGGAAAACCAGGTTCGGTGTGTTTGTGCTTGCTTCTCTTTCATATGGAATTAATGGTGGTTTAATGGGGTATGAAGGAATGTTTTACTGGAAACAATGAGGAACAATTGTCTAGCTCACGTTTCATTTCACAGGTCATTATTGCATTAAGAAGTAAATCGACCAAGTCCGGTAAATAACAGTCTGGGTATTGCTGAAAGCTTCAAACCAAACAATCTTACAGTATTCACCTAATATCTCTGTCATTTTTAACCCTTACAGAGATCTGCTGCAGGCTAAACAATTACTGTCTTCACCCACCCCTGGCAGGTAAGCATTATTCATTTTACCTTCTCTAGCAAACCCCACCAGGCAAAGGGTTTTACATTGTTGTTTTGTTTATTAGGCAGCCTAGCCAACTGTGTATCTGGTGGCCTTGAAAAAGAACACAACTTTTAGTGAGTGCTGCAGGCATCTTTAAACAGGCTGCTTCCTCTGCAAAATTAATTGTTGCAAAACACAGCACTTCTTCTGTGTCAAGTACTGCACACTGACACTCAGCAGTTTGTCTTTGTTATGGATATGCCAGGGAAATTTAGGGCAATGCCATTCTTCAAGTTCGCATGCAAATCCTGTAAAGTGTGAGGCTTATTCACTCTTGAGAAGACCGACCCTGTTACTTACTTAATTTTCATCTGGGAACTATAGTCTAGCTGTCCTGTGGCCCATCTTTCAATGTATAAACAATTACTATTCTTTGAACAACATCAGTCAAATATATTAATCTTATATCCCTCTGAATTCCATTTTTCATCATATTTAAAATTCATCTCTGACATGCCCTTATAAATTCAGTTTCTCTCAGAACAGATGTCTAGAATTTAAATATTATTTCCATTCACATATTATGGCTTGTCAGGAGGAATCCTTTCTGCTATATCCATTCCCTTCATTTTTCACACATGCTTCTCAACTCTCAGTTTTCTCATAGTCCAATAAACCAGAATACCATTCAGAAGATAGCTGAAAATGAGTGATTCCTGTGACAAATTACTCCATTGTGGTGAATGTAATTGTATGATGTTTGAGCTTCCAAACATATATTTTAATATTCCCATTTTGAATGGATTGATTATGTACCATCAAGTCGTTTTCAACTCCTAGCGATCACCTAGATAGATTTTCTCCAGGATGATCTATCCCTGACCTGTTCTTCCAGGTCCATTTTGAATGGACATATAGTTTTAAATATATGTGCAGCAAATAAAAAGGCCCTTGCAGGGTTATATATGTGAGCATTAGCAGTCTTTTCCATGATAATGCAGTAGCATTCTGGAAAAGGCTGTTAACTTTCCAGCAGGCACCCTTGTTCAAAAACTCACTTCTCTTTTGTGTATTACAGGATACTGATCCTCCAAAATACTCTGATTTTTAATAATGTATTATGTTGATTTGATTGGTTGATTTATTATGATAGTAGGAGAAAAAGCCCAGTTAAGATCCTCTTTCCTGTTCCAACACTTCTCAAGGTGCATAAAAATCAGAAGTGAATATGTGTAGCCCAGGGCTGAACTGTGGAGTCCTTGGGGTTCTCTGTGGTTGGTTGTTTTCCTGCAAACATTTCGTTACCCGGCTAGGTAACATCTTCAGTGCTAGAATGGAATGGGGTTTGC